ATCCACCATAAAAGCATCAAGCTGAGAATGAAAAAGTCAGTTCCAAGTTCATGTTGGCAAGTTAGGCTTAAACATTTTACAAAATTCTTGTGCAGCTCTTCTACTAGTTGTGACTGGAAGAGCACACACGAGTCACTCTGCATCCACAGAGGGCTGTGTATCTAATGTTGTCCCACTAAAGACACACCTAAGCATACCATGCTGTTACCTGGATTACCTTGTACAAGAAAAAATTGATAATATGAAATATATCTGACAAATATGCCTGTTTTATGCTTATGGAATTTGACAATATTGTAATTTCTTGGCACATAACATTTAGAAAGGAGTGCTATTATCAGCAGTCTTGGGCCACTCTGCCACCTTTGCTCGTATCACACAGGAGAGCACCTGAGGGCAAGAGGAGACGCAGCTGGAGCATTTAGGGTGGCTTAGCACAGTCAGGCCAGACATGAAACCCTGGAGATCCTTTTTGCAAACACCGACACTTCAAAAAAACAACAAAAACAAAACAAAAACCTCCATCATTTTAAGTCAGAACCAAAACACTTTGGGTTTTAATTTTCTGTGAAAGCAGTTACAGAAATCACACTGGAAATACTGCTTTAGAGAAATTTTGAAATACTCTTTCTGAATTCTTATTTCATCCTCTGGATGTTATTTAACTCTGTGTTAGTCCTAGCAGCCTGTAGCGTGCTATTACTAAAGGCATCAATATCTTCTAGGTCAAATTGTCCCCTGTCTGAGTTACGCTAGAAGAGCTTAAGGTACACATAACACTGTTCCATTAAATAGAAAACTAATCTAGAGAATAAATACTAAGTAAACCAGTCTTAAGCAATAACACAGGGGAAACAGTAACTCAGAACATTACTAGGGGTAAGATTCTAATTTAATAACATGCAAATAAAAAGCATAAAAATAAAAACCAAAATGAAATCTGCTATCTATGCAAATCAATTTTTCACTTGATATTTTTTCTGAGAAAAGTGTCATTCAGGCTGCATTCTTGAGGAATATAGTTTTAATTAAAACAGCTGTTAAAAAAGGAGAAAATCTATTTTGGTCATTTTTCCTGTTTTAGCTCTAAAGACGCTTTGGCCAAGGCTGACACAGAACCAGCAACGAGATCGCCCATTACTGCAGAAACCTCGCGCCAGGAAAACACAAAGAAGGGAGAAGAACCACTTCCCAGAGGACCCAGAATCATTAAGACAGAAAAAAATGCGTCCTGTCTTATTCTCCACTTAACCAAGTCCAAAAGCTCATACAGTAATACCAACAGTTACTAAAGGGCTTAGCTTTTTGTTGAGGGTCAGTTGCGTCTCCTCGGCAGCCGGCAGACCCTCTTTCGTCCGGAGCCCCCGGCCCGGCCCGGCCCGGCGCAGCACGCGGAGACGCAGGCTCCCGCCCAGCAGCACCTTACCCAGTCTCTTCTTCCTCAACCCACGATTAGAAAAAATGCCATTAGATTACAGCTCAGGACTTCAAAAAGGAAAAGAGTATTACCTCCGTCCCAAACAGAAATGCTTCTTCAAAGGAAGACTTCAGACCGATATACACTTTTCTCAACACAGTATATCACTTTTACAAAGTTTAGGTAAAAAGCCGACACTGTTATTAGCCTTTGCTGCACCTTCCCCAAAATAACAAGGCCTCCTGCTTTTCTAGGCAGGATCTTTTACTTTTAGAGTTACCGCCAGGCCGTGACAGGCGGTCTGAGGCGTTGCCGCTTATTCCCGACGACGACGCAGCAGCCGGGAGGCGCAGAGCCAGGTAGGCGCTGCCCCAGGGCAAGGTGCGCAAACACCTCCCAAGGCACTTCGGGAAGGGCAGCGTCCTGCCGGCGCCCGAGCTGCACAGCAGACGCGAGAGGTCAGGGGAGAAGGGGGAGGCCTGTCCTGATGTGTGTTTTTTCAGTGTACAGTACTTAAGGGAAAAGAGAGGGCTTGTCCCGCGCGACGGCACGCCCAGGGCCTTCGACGCCCCGAACCGCCCCTGGGCTTCGGCCTCCAAACCACACACCGAGGACCCGGAGCCGCGTCCTCACGGTGGGTGCCGATGCCCTTTGGAAAGGGCACACAAATCTCACACAGATCACCAAATGATATCTGCGCCTTATTTTTGGAGAGAGAGATGTGAGACGAGCATCTTTAAAAGAAACATTAGAAGGATGCAAGCCCAGGCAAGATATTTTGGGTTGAAGCTGGACATCTCCCAATATTCACATCATTAGACACTGTTTTCTCCTGTAAAACTGAACATAAGTTAACTTGCCATGATATAGAAAGGAAGATTAAATTGTCCATTGGGCAGTTTTGGCTTTACCAAAGGGCATACTCACTGCATGGCAAATTAGCCAAAGCTCATCGACTACTGCAACAGCACAGAGCAAGTTTAACATACTTACGGGGTGGGTGGGTGCATTTTATCTACTTCAGCATATGACCACAGTTCAAGGCACCATTTTTGCTGAGAGGAATACTAACAATTAGTGTATTTATACTTGGCTGACATTTTCTTCAGCTGAAAGTTACTGATGTTGGAATGATATTTGCAAGCTAATTTGTATTCACATTTTACACTTTGAAGGCAGTGATAATTCTCCAGGAGTGCACAATTCTCCTTGTCATTTTAAGAAAATTCAACAAGAAACTAGGAACTCCTGGTTTTTGAATACACTCAAATAAAGCTGCTAGTCTTGAAAAGGGGGAGGAAGAAAAAAGAAAAAAAACAACCAACCACACACAGGGGCTCTATCCTGATAATCCACAGCAATACTAAAAATGACCTCCCCCAATCACTAGGTCTGCAAGAGATCCTGAAAGCTCATCTCGATTACATTTCTGCATTACTGTAGGGTTTATCTGATTTTGACCCCAGACCTGCCTCATCACCACAGACTTGCCCAGTGACGACTGTGCCGTGTCTGAGGCAGATTATGGTCCCCAGGTCGACCTGCTGGCCTTGCACGGCACTCCAGGACAGGGTCCGGCCAGAGAGGTGCCAGCCCTGTCCAGCCCGCAGCTCCCAGCTCAGCTGCCCATGCAGAGCAGCCAGCCCCACTGCCCCATGCTGGCCATTCCCAGGTTTTCAGCTTCCAACACAACTCTTAACTTTCTCGAGGAACAAGGGATTGGTGTTCAAAGTGCCCTCACTATCAGTGCCCAGTCCTGATACAATTTTTAGGATGTTAGAAGAGATTAGCACCAAACCCAAATGGCCACTGTGCACAGACTATTTCAGTTCACCCATATTTTTTCTAATCCTGAGACAGTCCTCAGTCAACAGGCATCATCCCAGGACACACCACTACATGGCTGAAGGGAGCTCTCAGCTACCAGCCTAGGTCCTCATCAATAGTGCAACCGGCCACCCACACCGATCCGGCTGAAGAGCCACTGGAACAGGCAATGCCAACACCCTCCTGCGCATGCAGACGCACGGCGGCCCGTGCTGCAGCACGGATAATGGTACGCCGCCTGCAGCAGCACGCTCTGCTGAGGCTCAGCAGCACTGTAATAAGGATGAGCAACAGAGTAGGTGCTGCCTGGCTTGGCAAGGGACCCTCTCTGCACAGAAACGCAAAATAATCACTTCTGTGCTATGGAAAGTACCCAGACCTTAATTTTTAGATCTGCTTGAGTCTCATAGGTTTTTGGGGGGCGGGGGGGAGGAAATCCTTAGCATAGTTCTCAAACTGAAAATTTAAGGTTACAAATTTCTTAGTTGTTTCTTGGATGACTGCAAACCCAAAGGAGTTTAAATCCTCAAGGACGAGTGAAGTATTTCTGCTGCAAGGATCTCTTTCTTGAGGTTGCAAAACATCAAACTAGAAGCCGCACTATGCTCAGGGGCAAAGGCAGAAAGGCATGTGGGCTTTCCCTTTCCCACTGCATCTCAGGTTTATTTTGCCTCCATAAACTCTCCAAAGGTTGCAGTACCATTGCTACTTCCTTTCACAAAACACGTTTTCAGAGTCCTTTATGTGAACACTTTCAGGTTTTCTGAGTATACTTTGAGCTGGTCCTTCCTCCCTTATCTCTTTCTCATTGATTTATTGTATTAAACAATCTGTAACTACTGTCTCTTTTTAGTAAAAAATGAAGAACTGTTAGGCATTTCATCATTTTCCTTGTCAACTATTATTTGTTCTCTTTCCCATTAGGTAGCAGACAAACTTGTTTTTCAATCGTTCTTGCTTCCTAGGTATTCATAAACCTTTATCTTGTGCCCTTTTACATCTGCTACTAGCAGCAACCCACAGTTTGTGCCCAAATATCCTTACTCTTATTATTTTTTGGTAATTTTCCCTTTTTCCAATATTGTGTAAGTCTTTAAAACCTTCACTATCTCACACCTTTCCTGAATAGAGCAAAATATAAGAAACGTTAAGAAACCACAGCCAGCTGTGTCACTGATCTGGCTTTAGGAAACAAATAGATCTGCCAGAGTTTTAAGCAACATGCTTTCTTACTAACCTTAAGTTAGGCCAGAACAAAGCCACTTCTAAAAATTAAAATTTGAAAACAAAATCAACCTCACTAGTATTTACATACCACATGTGTGTTTTACTGATTTACTGAATTTCCCACGTAGATGAAGTTGCACTCTCAGTCTTCAATGACACAAAGTATTCCCTGAAGGATTCTGGGATCAACATCTTCATCTCACTTAATTTTACCTAGAAAAAAGCCCTTTCTCTGGAATATGTCCCCACATTTTGCTCACCGCTCTTGCCACACCATCCGGGAGCTGTTCCCAGCCAGCCCTGCTCGGCTGCTGCCAAGAGGGGCATCTCCTGCAGGGACAGCCAGAGGTTCCCTGTTTTTGGGGCTCTGTGCAAAGCCAAATGGATTCCACTTGGGTGTGCGTCAAAGTCCCCAAAAAGTCATTGTCATTTGGAAAGCAAGAGCTTTTGGAGCAACCACATTTGAGGGAAACAGCACAAATCTCCTCAAAGGCTGGTCAGCAGAAACTGTGCTTCGCCAGCCCCTCACCTGATCGTCTCTGGCCCCTTCAACCGTTTTCTGCCTTGGCACCAGCCGGTACACGTGGGACTGAGCAGGTCAGTGCTTCTCTTTGGAGAACAAACCCAACAGGTTCTAAAAGCAAAAAAAAAGATACAAATTTTAAAGGGTAGCCACTTCTACAGGAAAAGGTAAATAATGGTGATGTGGCAAATCAATCAAAATGCAGTTAAGTTTAAGGACAAAACGAGCTATGAGAACACATATCCCAAGAGCTGTTTATTTCTTAGTTCTTTCATTGAAAATAATCTCTTCTTTTTGGTTACACAACATAATGTCAGATTGTCTTTTCTTTTTCCCCATTTTTTCCTTTGCATGTATTTGATAGTTTTGTTTTTAATAAAAGTGGAGGTGTTTCTTGGCATTTCTACTGCAACAGCAGGGCTTGAACTTAAGGTCAAATGAAAGGAACAGTGTGTTCAGTTGCCATGGAAACCATACCAGTATAATATCAGGTACTAAGATACCAAGAATGAAGTGATAAAATCACTACATTAGTTTAATAAACAAGTTCTATTGTCATCATTTTACTACATATACGGTTCTTTGAAAAATATCAAATTTCAGAGTTTGCTCTGCTTGGCCTATTATTCATTATCTAACAAAAATGAAAAATGATTTCCTTTCCTAAGAGTTTCAGAAAAACATATTCAGAACTCATTAAGGTTCCTATGCATTTTAAAGCCATATTCTGGATACACAGAATTTTGCATACTCTGAAACCCCAAACTGACATTTAATTTCAATTCTCATTTTACATTTTCTTACCCTGCACCAACCTTTTAACAAAGGCATAATTAAATTTTAAATATAAGTTTTAAGGTGTCAGGCCACACTCCCAAGAGCACCTTTTCAAAATACCTTATACCAAGAGGAGAAAAAATGAACGACAGCCTTTCTCAGGGCGCCCGTCCCAAAGGTGGCATAGGGAGCTGCTCCTAGGGCATCTCCAGCGCCCGGGGCAGGGAGCACTGACCGCTGCCGGCCACTGCAGCGGCGATGCCCGGGAGCACGGCAGAGCTGGCTGCAGGCACCCAACGGAGGCGCGCAGCTCCTGCCGGGCCTTGCTGCAAAGCCGCTAGTGCTGCACAGTTCAAGGCAAGCGCCGTGAAGAGCCCCCAAGAGCATGTTATCGTGTCCGGCAGCATGGCAAACAGCACCCTGCGCTGGTGCTGCTTGCTGAGCCATCCTCCAGGTAGCCCGGAAAAGTTGCTGGAGGTACAGTCACAGCACCACGGTGAAAGCACGGCTCTGGATCTGAATTGCTAATAACGTGCACTTAAAATGTCGGTTTTGGCTAGCAATGACAAAAGTGGCTACAGGAAATAATTAGCACTGACTTCCATATTATAGATAATTCTACAAATGACAATGAATGGGGCCAAATGGTTCTGAGAATTCAAGATAACTCCAGAAAGTGGGGAAACCCAGAGTCTGAGTGATTTATTTGTGAAATAATTTGAAATTACTTTGCATAGTAATAGGATTCTGGAGCTCTGTTAGCCATGCAGAACAGTCACGTTGATTGAGAGCTGCAGCCGAGAAAAATAAAACTTTCTTCCACAATAGAGCAGTATGAGACCCCTTTGTGCCTTCTTCACCCAGATAAAGAGCAAAACTCACCCCAGCTCACCCACCACAAACCACTAGCACAACTTCACTCAGAAGTCAGAGACAATTCACTTTTTGCCAGGTGCCACCAAAAAAGGACATTGTTTGACTTTGCTAGACAAACCAAAGCAGCAAAACCAGTCCAGACTTCTGCAGCACGGCCTTGATCTCCTTGTGCACATCTCAGATATGATCTACTGGAAATGCTTTGTCTATACCAAAACACATCACCACTGCAAAAAAATCAATCTTGTTTTATATATAATGAGATGATGTTTAAAAAATATCGTTAATTTTGTCTTTCTCTCTTATTAAAAGAGTTAATATTTACTTCCCAAATAAAATTAGACCAAAAATGGATTGCTAAATTAAGGTGTTTGATATCAAAGTACTTCTGAAACAATCCCAACTCAGACATTCACCTGCTTCTCACAACGTGCTGTTTTGTATCGATTTTATGCAATTGTGTCAACCTGACATCAGTGAACTGAACACCACACGGGAGCAGCCTATGGTCCCCCGAGCACATATCTATACACAGCCGCGAGTACTGTAAGGATTATAGCTGTAACTGCCAGTTTCTGTTAAAAAAAATCTCAGGGCAGAAGGACAAGCTGACCTAATCGGTGGGTCGTTTGACTAGATTTTGCAGCGGGGGCACAGCTAATCCTCGGCTGACAGTCCAGCCTAGAGATTTTTTTTATCCATGATTAATGGACTTGACATCCATGTTCCCACAGCTTCTGCTAAACATGCAGTTCAGAGCCTATTGCTAAATACCACCAAGATCACAGAAAACTAAACTCTTATGACAGTGGAACGACTGTGCCAGAGGGCAGACTTTTCTCTGAGACAAGTATCAGATTACACCAGAAATATAACATAGGATAAGAGGGCACGACAAAAAGGTTTGTGATCTTGGGCCCCTGAATACCTTCATCCTTTAAACTAGACTGACCTTTCTTGATGGAAAGTAGATTGTGCGAGTTAAGAGATCTAACAAGGCAACACATTATCCAAAATTATACTGGGAAATCACATGCACATACAACGTGTTTATCATATTTAAGCAGAGGCATGTGCAATCAGCTTGACCTTTCATTTTATATGTACTTACTAATCAAATTCTAATTTGACTGAAGGGCAGCTGGAGATCCTCTCTTTCCTCCAGAACTGGCAGCATAGGATGTGATCTGAGATGCAAGATTCGGAAATAAGTTTTAAATCCTTAAAGCCCGAAGACATTTGGATCCAATTAACATCAATAGAATCACATGTTCACAGACAGAAAAGAACATAACCTCAAGACAGATAACCTTTCTCCCTAGCTACTCTGAGGTATAAAACTTAATTTTCTACCTTCTGTGCTACCTACACACAGAATGTTCCAACTGCTCCACATAGCCGTTTCCTAGCGCTTCGGCTTCTATAAAAAAGCACTGATGAGTATTTCCCAATTTATACTTTTCTTTACATTTTGCACAGAAGCCAATAGCACAAAAGAAAAAAAAAGGAAGTAAAACACGTCAGTCTGAAACAGAGTTGCAATGTCAGTTCATAAGGGACATTGTTTAAACAGTTAGCTCTGTCTGAACTATCCTTGTTCTAGACTGGGAAGTATTTCAAACCTTAATTACTGCAGTCCACAAGACTGTGACAGATCTTTCTTATGGGTATCTTGCCAAGGCAAGATGAAGCATGAATTCTTCTTTTAAAAAGTCTATACTTAATTAGTGCTTTAGCTAACTTTATGTTGCTTCCATGATTCAATAGACTACTTTTGGCTCTGGCAAGTACATCCGTCTGCTGTAGTTTTGCAGCTTCTAGGGTCAAAGCTATTTCGCATGCATTTTCACAATTCTTCACTATATTTCTGTATCCCTAGAGGGTTTTTTTTCCTCCCCCTCTTAAATGCAAAGAGAACAAGAAATCAAAATTTTCAAACTTTCATCAGAAAAAGAGCTGCTCTGAGATTTCCTTAATATACTAGTATTCACTACTTGCCTTGCTGCTTCGCTATGTTACTGTAGTATTCTGTCGTGTATTTATAGCAACAGCTCCATATGGAAAGAGAAATAACAGAGGTGGAAGAGCTTAAGTCATTAAGGATAAAAATATAAACATGTTACCCATTTTGACACAAGCACTAAGCCAGTATTTCAGCTCGAGCAGTGAGGTAGCACCGGTCTGTCAGAAGCTGCTTCTGCCAAGAGAAAAATCTAAAGCCTATCCCATGGCTGCAGCCGTTTCCCACTGCACCCCAAGGAGCCCGTGTCTTTGTACACGGTCCCAGCCTCTTCCAAGCCAGCTTTCTACCACCAAGATCTTTTGGCTTCTGGGATTTTTTTTTTTTTTTGGGGGGGGGGGGGGGAAGGGGAAGGCGACCTTTCTCTCACACTTATCCAACACAGACACAGCTCTATCTGAAATGACACCCTCATTTCCTGTGTTTGCATTCAGCCCTACGAAACCTGCCATCGCACGGTTCGATATCTAGCCCATATTTCCGGTACTGCTGTGGTTTTACGCAGGGATCCCATGACATAGCATAATTGGCTTTTACACTTAAGCACAATGCAAGGTAGTTATTAGCTTCACTACTTCCAATGAGGTTTAATGTTAGCTATAATAAAACATGTCTCAGCTCTACCATCAGCTCAGAGTCTAAAATGGCAATATCTCTATCAGCAATCCCAAGCGTAATTTTCAGATGTCAAATAATACAGGCATAAACACATATTTGCATAGTTTTTTTGTTAGGACGCTTTCACATCTCCTATACACACTGAGTTTCTTGCCATGCACATACCAAGTCTCTCTTTCTTCAAGCATTCTCTGGCAACCCTGCAACATTCCTAGCTCTTGAGGAACATCTATCCTTTCAGTGGAATCTTTCATATGTGACCATCTATTTTGCTGTAATGGGGAACTGACCACTTCTGTAAAGCTTCTAAGTTTCTGTTTCCATAGCTTAAGCCTCAGATTTGGGAGGCAGACACCTGCAGTCCTTTACCCGTACAGGGTGCTCTCCTTACAATAAATCCAGAGCCTAGCCCTTACAGTCAAACTTGCTTCCCATGTTTTGGGCACTCTGCAGGTGCTCATCCCCTCCTCAGCAAACATCCCCCTGGGCTACCACTGCTCTGCATTGCTTCAGAAGTACAAGGCCCAGCTCTTAGCCTAACACTTCCCTTGGTTTCTGCTCCTCCTGTGGTCATTTATACCTGCTTAACTTACTGCAAACTAAATCTGATTGCCAGCTGTTCAGCTCACCAGGGACACAAGGACAGTCCCACAACGGGATTTATAGCGTGCCTTTCATTGTGTAGCTTTTAGCCTGTGAAATCTGAACCACTGGCAATCTCATCCTTTACTGTCACTTTCTAGGCTTCTTCCTAAAATCCCAGAGGCCCTCTTTAGGATGGGTACATGCTCCTTCCTAGCATTGCACAGACCACAGAAGA